TGCATAATGGCATAATATAAGTTGAAACTAACGAAATTATAAAAAATGATTGATTTTTTGTTTTTCTGAACCTATTATCCCGCATCTAAAAATATATTATATAGTATAGGTGCTTGTATACTGTCTACAGACTATAAAATATTGTTCGAAACGAAATACTATACAACGAATTTTTTTGGTAAAATTGACAAACATTTGTAGGACTGCGCTACATAAAATCTCCGGATTCGAAATGGTCCAATCGGTTTTACTGTAAAATTGATTTAAAAAAATGTATTCGATTGAACAAAACTTAATAACTAATGTATAAGTTATAAATGCTAAACAGAATTGGAAATCTTAGGACCCTTCTCCCTCCCCCCCCCCAAAAAAAAGGGCGTCCTTCGGACAATAATAAAATCATATATAAAAAAATGTCGTATGAGGTTATATTATGATTGATCGAGGGTACTCTCCCTTTATTTCCATCCCCAAAATAATCATTCTGACCGTAACCCTCTGTTGAAATTTACTAAGACTATGCCACTAATGATTTATATTATAATATTTATGTATATTTTTTGTACACATTTATTCAGGTACTCACGCTGGTCAAGACGTGCGAGCCAGTGGCCGAAATGCGGACGTGCCGTTCACCCAGAGATTGGTCGCTCTTGGCCCTGCAAAACGTCCGAACCGGCAAATCGCATTACCTGGTCATCTGTCGGTGTCCGCACACTAGTCTACTAGGTAATATGGCCAGGAATTTCGTTAACGAGTGATCGAAATATTATTTTCAACGGCCAAAACAAAAGCCATCAAAATCCTCTAACGGTTCATATTATTGCAGTTGTGAATTGTGCATCAGTGCCTACCCCCTCCCCCCCCCCGTTCAAAATAATTGGACTTCGCAAATCAATATTGTTACTGGAACAAACATTGTTATCAATAGTTTGAACGGTTTATTCCGAATAGGAAAAAGACATCGTACTCATAATAAAATTCGCACCGATAGATATTTCTCGATTTTTTCGGAGGTCGCCAAAAACGTACGCAGGAGGTGGGAATTATAACACGATAAGTAATTATTTAATTGACCAAACGAGCAACAGTTCTAATAGGTGATACCTACGTAAGGAACTGAACAATTTATCTACCTGTCTTTGTCTCTCTTTCTCTCTCTGTCTCTCTCTCCTTACATCTACAGCTTAGTGTCATTTTCATATCAGGTATTCATTACTGTGTAGGAATTATTTATTTAAACTTTTTTTTTTTTTTAATTTAACAATATAATATCTAACAATGTGATGACGATTATACTTTTTTTGGTCCGCAGAAGGCCCAATGAGTCACGATCAACCGACGTATGCTAGCGTGCCCGGCATCAGGGTGTACGGTATGATGTGTGTGACGAAGAACGGACAGCAGCAGACCACTTTGGCGCCACCGGTACACTCCAGTCCAGCGCCGATAACTAAACGACGGGCCAGGCCACTGAGGACACCCCGGTCGTCAGGCCTCTTTTATAACAGAAGGTCCTCGATAAGTAAGTCCGTCAGTAAGTAGATATAATATAGTAACAGGTGTCGACGTTAGATAGTTAGTACTTAACAAATCTCGATAGTGACTGGACAAAAAGTTGGGTAATAAGTTACTTCAAACTTTAAACTTATCTAGATAAAAAAAAAAAATAAATAGAATGTTGGAAAAAAACTAATAAGCTGTTTTATTCAAGTTATTTTTAAATAGGTATTTACGAATAATTTATATTAAAACTGTATACCTGTCTGGTTTTAGACCTATTTGGTTTTCAACAAAAATTATTAATCTCATTTACGTGAAATGTGAATAGGTATCATTTTCGCATAATGAACTCGTGATGGATCTAGGCCTCTAGGGGAAGCAATCGGGTCGCCTAATGATGTTTGCCCTGATTATCTTAAATCATTCAAGATGTGTAATCACATTTAAATTTGAATTTGAGGTGGAGAGGTGGACAAATTCTAACGGAGCTCACGAAGTACAGTAACTTACTGTTTTGACATAGACGTCATTTGGAGTAAAATCTTGTGGTAGTATCCTCAACAATATTTTCAATTCACTTGTGACTTATTGTAATCTAATGAAGAGAAAGAGCAGTCGGTGAATTGATACTACACTAGGACTACTATTTTACTAACAATCCCAAATGAATTAGATAAAGTTATAGCATTCAATTGTAATTATATTAATTATAATATCATTATTTTAAACAATAAAACATTTACAAAACGCCGTAAATTTGTCCGTTTTTACTTTTACGTATTTTCCTTGATTGGAAAACTAAAAGATGACTCACTTTCTAACCAATAAGATTCAAAATGCAACAAAAAAGATCCCTTGACATTATTCGATTTGAGCAAGATTTCTCGTCAAAAAATTGTTTGCAGACAGAAAAAAAACACATCATAGTAAAACCAATAAATTCCTCGTTACGCTCAGAATCTAAAACTACTAATTAAAGCTCAACTTTATTTCACCTTTTAAACTTATAATTAACATATAATTGCCTTAGATTAGCCGTTTTTCCGATTATTATGAAAACCACAAGAAAAATGAAAAAATGACCTTATAAAATGCATCAAAGAGATTCAACATTTTGAAAAAATTACAAAACGTTACAAAAAAAAAAAAAAAAAACTAACTTGTAGTTTTTTGAAACATTTCCAATACAGAAAGATTGTGAACATAAAAAAAAAATAATAATAATAAAAATCGCGCACACCGTAGTAAAACCCATTATACATAGGTAATATTATTTTATAATTTGTACATAATCTAAGAGTATCTATTACCTGATAATAGTGTCAATATGACGTCATGATAAACATTTTTTGAAACGTTTGTTTGTACAAATGTCTTGTGAAAACGTAACGTTTCGCTGTCGCTGTTTCGACAATAATGCAATAGGTATTATTTATGATTAAATAATATATATTGTAACGGGCAATCCTCAACGTTGGCGTACGCCAATAATTTTTATTTTTAAGCGTACCTATTTCAGTGATAGGTACAGTGTAAGGAAAATGTTTTTTTTTTAATAAATTGAACATAAATAAATGTAAAATCAACATGTACCTATTGTTAAAGAAAGTATACATTTCTAAACTGACACCGTGATTATTTATTGGTTTTTTGAATTTTTTTGTACGATTAAATATTTGGTTGTTTGCCCTCCCCCCCCCCCCATTGTTTATTTATAAATACGCCCCTGTCATACCAACGTCTTCGATCGCCGCCGCAATGATTTTGACGAACGATAATCACACGACGGCAATATTGTTGTTAATTGTTAAACTGTTAATCAATGTAATCGACATTGACGCGTTTACCGCGATAAAAAATAAATAAAACGAATTCAAACAGAAAATAATACGCGTTGCGTATCAATCATATTATAACAATATTACTTTAAAGCGTTCATTTTGGCCTAGTTTATACGCGAAACGGTGTGATGACAGGAACGGATGCATGGGAATGAGGGAGGAGGGTGTAATTCCGGGTCTGATACCTGGCTTCTCACCTATTGGCTTTTTACTTTTTTTACATTATGTAGGTACACAATTTTGTTACTCTTGTATATCGTGTAGATTTTAGAAAAAAAAAAAAAAAAAAAAACCTTCTCTAAATGAAATTGTTTTCCACTGATCCCGTACAAAAGTTTTACAAACGCCACTGTGTGATCGTTTATATATTATAATTAATCACCTAGGTACCTAGGTATCCAACTGCTTATTAAAATGAAAGAATATCTTAAATTCTCAAACTGCTACACAAATATAACGATAGGTAGGTACCGATACTGATACGGTACAGTAGTGGACAGTGAAATGAAATTCACAATTGTCTACAATAGGTACGTCATAGAATACGTAGATACCTAATGTGCGACACATAGTGACGCTCATTTTCATCGTGCAATATTCGCTTTTTTGAGGGTCGAGCTAGGTATATATATATTTTATATATTATAAATATTATATTTTTGTTTACAGAACGTAAACAGACTAAAAATAATTCCATAATTAGATTTTCGAAGTGACCAAAAGACGATAATTACCAATGTGTAATTAGTTAATTAATTATCAGTGGCGTGCGCAAGGTAGAAGTTATGGGTTATAACATCACCCTGCATCGGCTTAAAAATTCCAGTGATCTAATATCGAAATGCATGTATACTTCGGCCAAGTTACGAGGAAGGGTATTGATGTATTCATTTGAAATTGGATTTTTTTTTTTTAAATCTGGCTTTTAAATTAATAACTTCCATAGTCAGGTTAGGTATAGAAAACGATTTTGCGATTTATTCACAATTATTATTTGATACATCCCCTCCCATTGAAAATTCCAGGGCACGCCACTGGTTATTATAATAGATAACTATTTTTTAATTGGCAAATTATAATTCATACGTTGTACATTTTATAGGCCAATCGTCACCGCCTTTTCCGTGGCGCAGAGCCATGCAGTTCATCAAATCTGTGGAAGCGGAAGAGTCGCTGAAAAGTAAACAGTCTTAAACATGAATAAGTACTACAAAACAATGAAAGTAAACAGTTATGAAAAATTAAAATTCGATTAGCTAACATAAAATACTGATAATATTACAAACGATTTTAAAATAATGTAACGAAGTCGCTCAACTATTTTCTTTAACCTAAAAATTATTTATTGTCTTACGTAATAAAAAAGAGAAATAGATAAAAACAATATTATTATAAATGTAACTTTTTCTCTTTTGTAAAACAAGGTGCTTTGTGCGTTTAAAATTATGTTCTATTGTACATAGCACACCGGCTATATATTTTTAATTTATTTATTTTTATACATTAGATGATTATTTATGTAAATTCATAAATTATAAAGCATATTTTTAAGTAATTTAAAAATTAATAAATATAATAAAAATGTAATTTATAATACATTAGTAATAAAATTTATTATATTTATAAGAAAGACAATATGTTTAGAATTATTATAGTCTATAATCTTAAAAAATAAAGCTAATATTTATGGTAAAGATACAATATCTCTGTCGAACACACAAAACATTAATTCCTAGATTTTTTTTGCTTTTTATTCTTTTTCTTTTTACTCTTTTTCTTGTGTTTATGCCCTGAACCGTTTTCAGTAGATTTCTCTGTAATTTTATTCCCATTTCTTCTACTAGGACTTTTACTAGTTTTCATTTGACTCTTATTTCTTGAATGCCTTTTATTCCTTGAATAACTCTTACTCTTTGAACAACTCTTACTCCTCGAACGACTCTTACTCCGTGAACGACTCTTACTCCTTGAACGACTCTTACTCCTTGAACGACTCTTACTCCTTGAACGACTCTTACTCCTTGAACGACTCCTACTTCTTGAACGACTCCTGCTTCTCAAACTTCTACTACTTGATCTGCTGTAGTTTCTATTTCGACTACGACTACGACTATAACTTCTATAACTCCTACGAGATATAGAATATTTTCGTTTTCTACTTCGGCCGTGGGTACTACTTCTATCGTTGTCAACTTGATTATTCAACTTCTGAAAATATTTATGATACTTGTGTCCATAAGTAATTAACTGCATTGGATCAAACATTGGTGGCATAAAGTATGTGCCGCGACCAACATACTGATGCATACGGCCACGCCAATTTCCTCTACCTCGACCACGGTTAGTATTTACATTTTGGTCATTGTTATGACTATTTTCAGAATCTTTGTTATCAGAATCTGAAAAATAAATAGAACACTGTTGACATCAACACAAAAAATTATATTTTTGCACAAATGGTGCATACAAATTTAAAGTATTAACACATATCTAGGGCATTAATGTGAGATGACAAACGAGCATGGTGAAAATTGCATATTAGGTTTTTCAGTTTTAACTTTGTGCAATTAAAAACCTATAGTAGGTATTAATTTAGTGGCAATATGATTTATGTTTAAGATAAGTGAAAAATAATACATTAACATTTTTTTTTAAAAAAGTAATTTGACCAGTACAAATGTTTATTTCTAACCTAGTCCATTAAAAAAAACTAGATGATGTTTAATTGAGGGCCCATCCCCATAATATTATCAGAAATGTGATGTTAAAATAACAAATATTTTTACACTTTTTGTATAGGAATAACCAATATTTTTACATAAACGTTAGAAATTATAATTGTTATACACAATACATCTACTACCTTTTTTTTATAATAACATTTTTCGGAACAGTAAAAGTGCACCAAAAATGTTATGTAACATATTATTAGATTGGTAATGTTTGTAGGATGTAATTAAATTTACAATATAACAGAGTGTGAAAACATTTAATAGTTCTTATTCAGATTCTGAGTGGAGCAAAGATGTTCATTTTTATATTTTTATCTGTGCGCAACTTTTCTGCCAGAATACTTGCTCAGTGTAGCATTTTTTCCAGAAGGAAATCTGTGTGGGGAGGTACTTTATGGAGATCATTTTTCGATTTTTCCAAGAATTTTCCCATCAAATGTGAAACAAATGGGAAAATCGAGAAAACTTAGGAAAACTGGGAAATCAGTAAACATTAAACAAATATTATTAAAGAAAATATATAAGGCTTATTTAATTATTTTACTCTAAAATGACATATATTATTATTGAAAAAGCATCACTATAAACTGAACTTCGCTCAGAATTGTTTTTCATAAGCAATAGTTTATTATTGCTGACAGGTATACATTAAATTATCTATAACAGTAGCTGCATCTGCCGCCATTATCCTAGAACGGCTTTTTAAAAATAAAAATAATAAATATTTAATGAAAATTAATAAACAGTTAGCTTAAAGTTTTTTTTACACGGTAATTAAATGTTCACCTATTAAAAAATATGATATTAACTAGTAAAAAAAAGCTTAATAAAGAAAATTTAAATTTATACATTTAAAGACTATATTAAAATATCAGCTTTTATTAAGTAAACGCTTTTATTTCTCAAATTTTAAGAAATAAAGTAATAAGTTATAATTGTTTAGGTTTTGTAAACACTTTAATTGAGCATAAAAAAAAATATTTCATTTATCTACATTGTTATTAAACTCACTTTTAGGTATTATGTACTGAATAGGTTTCCATTGTTTGATCATTTTCTGTCTGAAAGTCGACTCAATATCTCCAATTTGATTGGTCTAAAAGTAAATGAAAATGTATTTCTAGTTTCAAACAGTAATCTGTGTTTAACAACTTACTTTTATATTAATGTTATCTGTTTGAGATTTATCAACTGCATTACTTTTAGAAACAATGTTGGACTAAAACACATACAAATTAACATTAATCTGGTGCCAACAAATTATTTTAATAATTTTTAAATGTTGAATACTTTAATACGGGTAAACAGTTCTCCCAGTAAATGTATTGCTTCTAATTTTCTTTGAGCTTTCAACAATAGTTTTTCTTCAGATACAATTCTTTCATTCATTTCATTAACTTCTTGATCAGCTAAATGTTTTAAACGTCTAGCTTTACGTTTGTTTTCTCGTAATGTACGCCTTTCAAACTTCTTCTCCTTTTCAAGCTGTTTCTTTTTACTATACAATTATTTTATAACAATTCAATAATAAATTTAAATTAATTAAGAGGTTATAACTACTATTTTACCTTTCTTCTTCAGCTATTCTTCTTTCTTTTTCTTTGTTTACTCTTTCTGTTTCTTCCATTATTTTTTGCCTCATCATGAATTGATCACGACGTTCAAGTCTTTTTGTAATTGAACTTAATGACATGTGTTTTGTTTTATCGAAATCTACTTTGATATTAGCAGTCAATGCTTTAGAATCAGTTATATAAGCCAATTTATTGCCCTTTAAGCTATCCATTGCTTTTGAAAATGCTGAATACTCTCTAAATTGTATAAATGCATCACAAAGCCCTACTCCATGACTAACTCTCGATGGGTCAGCAGCAGGCAAATCTACACGAGCTACTTCGCCAAATTTATTGAATATTTTTTTTAGAATATTTTCACTTGGATATTTTTCATTAACTTCTGTTAGCCATTCTAAAGGTATATTTTCTATGTGTATAGTATCAGGACGTTCACCCGGTTTCATCTCATTCATATCTTTAGTGTCACGAAAAAATGAATCCCAATCGTGACGAGTAGGAAAATTAGGTTTGGTTTCCATAGCATGCACGGTTAATAGCTGGGATACCCCAGGAATTTTAATCTTCCTATCACATAAACGTGATAATACAAACGACAATCGAGAATAGTCGTTTAATTCGGCGTCGAACCTAAAATAAAAGTTAGTTGTATTAAAAATTATTAGAAGTATATTTAATGATACTAACTTTAAAAATTCTGATGAAGATGTTTTGGCTATACAAATACAGGAGAACTTGTCTGGATCTATACATTCTTTTAAGCGTTCCATAACTTGCCAATTGGAAATTGCAGTCTTGTTTTTTCCACTCGATTGAATAGTGATCGAAATCCGTGCAAACGGTTTCAGAAACAAATGTAGACGAGAACATAATGGTACAGCGTCTGATCGGTCAGCTATCGTTCCAAATATGGCCTATAATACTTTTATTTATCTTCGAGCTGTACAAAATACTTGATAAATAAGTAATTTAGGTGGTCTTCCACAGTTTCCAAAACTCTGAATTTTTAATTTAATTTAAGAAACTATTCACTGATATTTATATATTTCTAACTAGCTATTGTAGAATTTAACAAATAACACACTGTATTTTCATCAATTTAGTAGTTACATTAAAAATATAGTGTAATTGCAGATTTTCAATTAACTTAAATTATTAATAATTAACCTAACCTTGAATTATGCTAATTTATTTCAATATTTAAATGATACAGACATGATCGGGACAAATTATTAACACATAAAAACTCAAAATTAAAGTTGAATAATAAGATTATAAGAATATAGTATTAATACTTTAAATTGTATAATAATTGTATACTTTAATTGTAATCAAAATGTCTTGATATAGTAATTGTACACTACAATGTTATTATTCATTGGCTAAATCGATAATCTTTTGAAACATAACTTCCAACAAAGTTATTATTACCAGAACCCCAGTAAGCTCATTTGTAATTTATATAAATCAAAAATAACTTAGTAAACTCCAATCATTGATAAGTAACTGTCATAGGGACATGGATACTTAGGCTACATACCACTGATTGAGATAGAAACAATAAATGCCGATGAACAGTCAGTTAATCTTATCAAATAAAAATATAATATTTAATTCGGGCTACCCACACTAAAATACTTGTTACCAATATTATTATTTAATATACATTAATAAAAAAAATAAATATTAATAATAATTTAGTAGATTGTATTTTATACACAGTATATTTTAAAAAAAAAAATAATTATAATTTAAAAGAATGAACATTTTTTTTTTTTAGGTATCTACTAACCATTTATATTGATTTAACTATATTAAATATTACTAATTTGAGATTGGTAATAAATATTAAAAATATAAGTTCAATTACAATACTAATAAGGCTCGTACTGGCTACTCTTGTGGGGCAGTTGAAGTTTTCATTTAAAAGACCGCCTAAACAAGTAGCGTAATATGGTGAAGTTTTGGGTACATCTATTATCCACATACCTGTCCCAGAGGCATACGACTTCTATAATAAATTTGTGTGGCATAGGTAAAATAACACAATATATAATAAACATAGGAATATATTAAATATAAATTATCAATATTTAATTTTTTTTCCTTCTTAAAGAAATTAAAGGTAAGATTTTATTAAATTTTTCTATTTTTAAATTTAAATTTTAGAAAATTCAAATAAACTATATTAATTTCAAATATTTCAAACATTTTACTAATTTAAAATGGGTAGTAAGATACCTAGTAGAATCAACATTATTCTTCCAAAAATGTTAATTAATATTTAAATATTTATGAGATACATGTACCTAATGATTTAAATGTTCAAACATTTGTAGGTATCAAATACCAAATAATACACAATACAAATTTTTAAATGAATGGATTAATATTTTTTTCTACAGTAAAGTCATAGGTACCTAACCAAGGACAAAAATAAAATTCTCAATTATTACCATATACACAAACCATTTATGAATATATTGTATAAGTAAACAAATGTTAGGGTTACAAAATGAACACCTTACAATATCAGATGATTTTTAAATTTGAATGATTCATAAAAGAATTTAATGATTAAACTACTTTGCTAGGTACCTATAATGTATTTTTACATTATTAATATTGATAACAATATTTATATTGTCATCATTTTAAAGACTATTTTAAAAATATAAATTAACCTTTTTTGAGATCATTTAAACGACTAGTTTAACTATTTCCAATGTACATTAAGTGGATGAAATTCTGGTACTAGTTAGAAATATTATTCTCACGTTCCCTAGTATACTAGGTAGTTCTTACTGGAACTTGTATTAACTTAACAAAACACATATATAATTCATACATTATAACACACATAAATAACCGAACGATACACGTTGAAAACAAATTAAACTCAACCGCGATTTAATTTAAGATAAATTTAAATCATCCACTGATAGATTCATGTCATAATATTAAATTTAGTAGGTATGTTGAAACTTAAAAAACAACAAAAATAAATTATCAAAACAAAATGATACATTTTTGTTGTTTAAAAAAAAAAAAAATGATTCGTGTGATAAGTTATCAGTTATCATTTCTGCCAGTTTACCATAGATATTAGTATACATTACATACAAGGTGTATTGATCAATACACCTTGATTACATATTACCATTATATACATATGTATATAAATTATAATGTGTATATATTATCTATGGAAACTATGAGGATTTGTAATTTATAATTTTTTTTTTTGTATTATCATTAGTCATAATCATGGGAACAATGAGCTCTTTGATAACAAAAATCGGCCTTTACGATTTATCCAGCTTCAATATTAATAAATTCTTAGTCGGCTATCTAATTGTGATATATTATATATGTAGTTTAAATACAAATAAGAACCATGCGTATGCGTTATGCATTATACTATTAACTTCACGGTTCACCTCTCACAAAAAATCGAAGAAGCTCCTTGTCCCCAGCTCCCGCCACCGCCGAAATTCAAACCCAGATTTATGCCATTCGTTTGTGCTGGTTTGTGCTTTTAGTCCCGTCTTTTGTGCTTTATCCCTTCCCGAGATACACAATTTTAAAAATCGTAAAGTACTCCCAGCTACTGCCCTCTCGTAAAAAAAATTATTTTGTCTTGTGCAATTGATGATAACTATTCACGTTATCGTTTTTACCTCTATGGTGTGTAATCGTAAACATATTTGGTTCGAATGAAAAACTCAAACCCTCGTGGATTAGAAAATATTTTATCTATAATTATATTTTTATTAAAATATATTTGTGTGTGTTCAATAAATTTCAAATTGTTATATTTTACTCTATTCTCTTTAAGAACGGTACTCGGCGGCTCGTTTTCGTACCACACCCCATTCGCAAAACGTGGCCGCCGAATACGGTTCTTAAAAGTTCTTAAAAAAAATAGATTATAGTGTAGGTATTTAGCACAGTACTCTAATGTCATTAGGCAAAAAGTTATTGAAGTGTATTATATTGGTTTTGACGGTCTCCGTAAATCGATCAAACTTTTAGAAATAAAACTATTTTCTAATCCACAGGGGTTTGAGTTTTTCCGGAAAACCAACTATTTTTTCGACTATACACCATAGAAGTGAAAACGATAACGTAGATAGTTATCATCAGTTGCACAAGACAAAAATTTTTTTTTTTTCCAATAGTGCAGTAGCTGGGAGTACATTTCAGCCCCCAACTTTCAAAGCTGTATATCTCGGGAAAGGATGAAGCACAAACGACGGGATTAAAAGCACGAACCAGCACAAATGAAGCACAAACGAATGGCACAAGTTTGATTTTGGATTTCCGATGGGAGGTGGGGGGGGCTGGGAACATGGAACTTACTAAACGTGCTTTGGTGGTACCTACATCATAAGCAGTACATTTAATCATGCATCAATATATTTCAATATACAATACATTAATGTATAGCTTTTACGCTCAATGTGGTGATTGCATCAATTACCCGCCAGAAAAGAACACACAATCCTTAACAATGAAAATTAATATCCAATACAGGAGTGGACATGGGACTTATTGAACCCGTTTTAATATTGCAAAATACAATGCGCCTTTAACATTACGCGTCATATTATTCATAGCCTCACGACCCTGGCTTTATTTCGGGGTCTGTGTCTATCACTTCTGTGTTCAAAGTTAAAAAATCAACCTTTCGCAGTAATTTGGAGAAATTCATATTGAAATTGAACCCAACTTTTATTATTTCAATCTGCTTATAAAATCAATCTAATTCAGAAGTAACTAACTCAGAACTAACGTTCGGCTAATTTCGTTCTGAGGGCAAAAGTTTAAAGTGCACAAAATTAGCAGGAATAACAAAAATGTAGATATGTACTAGATTATGTAGATTATTATTACTATTTTTTTTTTTTAAGCCGTTTAGACTTTTGATGGCTGCCAAAACTACTCCCTTCCATCGCTCTCTGTTGCTCCCAGTCCACTCTAATTTCTTCTAATAATTTCTTGACGCTATCCTTCCGTCTTTTCCCTTACCATAAAATATGTCATTGTGCCCTTCAGCATACTCTAAGAATTTTTCTCTCAAATAGACGTAGGTATCTAGCGTCATTTCCCACGTAGAGGTTATTATGATCACCCCCTCCTCGTTTTACCATCATGCATTTAATTTCCAAGCCAATACCTTTTCCTATTTTTATCAGTTTTTCAACAGTACTTTGAAATCGGAATACACTCCCGTAATTTCCTAAAGATTACTATGTCATCTGCAGAGATATATTTCAAGTTTTTTTGGTCCAGGGCTAATCATTTTTGACGCCCCCATCTCTGCAATATCAGTATATTGCAGCATTAGTTATTAAAATATAGGTACACAATTTATAAAAAAAAATTCAGTAACATTAAACATTAAACAATAATATCCTTTATTAAAAAAAAAATAAAAGTCCTCATAATACAAATATCCGAAATATTTGAATTATAACTCTGAAAACATTAAAATTTACAAAAAATGAACAATAAAATCAAGTATGTAACATATTCATTAATTAAATCCTCATACCAACTTTACTGCAAATTTCATTTTCGATGTTGACAATAGCAAAATTGTTTAGATCCTCTTTTAATCCCGACATAAGTAATTTTGAATTCTTTTTAATGTTGAAAAAGACTTTTCAGCAGAATTGTTTGAAGCAGGAAAGAATAAAATTATGTTTGAAACTATGTCTATGTAAGGAAATAAATCGCTTATATTATTTTCCTTTAACAGCATACTCATTTCAGATACTGGAATTTATTGTATACATAAAAAGTAGTTACGAAAATATTGTCATCCATTAGAAAAACTTTCACCTAAATCATTATTACATATTTTTTAAAGTTCATTTGCACTCATATCCAATTCAGAGGATGAAAGAGTTGTAAACTTAAATAAAAATGAGAAGTTTTGCTTTATATTTTCATAAGACTTTTTTTTGTTTTTTCCAATTCGTCATCGAGTTTATCCAAAATGACATAGTAGGTATTCACATTTAATGATTCGCAACTAACAAAATGTACTTCTTCTCTGGTACTTTCATCATATTGTAACTTCTTTTTTTTCTTCGTATATTAGTCAAATAAGTTAAGCTCGACTTGTCTATAGTTAAATTTGCATAACCAAAAATATTACGTCTCATTTCTTTAACATACTGGTGTAATGAATTATATTCAAATTTCAAATTCAATATCAATTTCTACTGTTTAAAGTTTTTTTATTTGTAGTGTTTAAGCGTTCTAAGACTGTTCCAAAATTGATCTATTGTGTGGTATAAAAAAAAATTTAAAATTAATTTTTTTTTTTATCACTATATTATACAAAATTTTGCCACCCAGGGCTATAACTCTGGTTAGCCCTAGGGTAAATACGTCCCTGGTTGTCTGCATATGCTAGCAAGATATTTCCTACATCGAGGTTTAATGTTTCATGATTTTAATTTTTAAACTATAATTGTAGGTATATTTTAAAATACAAAAAAAAATATTTATATAAAAATATCAAATGTTGGCAAGTGAAAGTATTTGAATAGTTTTATCCAGTATTGGCTATTTTTTCACCAATGTTAACTTATATGTTAATATTAATGATATTATTTTTAAAAATTTAATAACTACAATTATTTAATGTTTCCATTATATTATATTATCTCTATTTTATGTATTTATGCATACAACATTTGGTTCAACAATAGAGAAGACTTTTCACTATCTCCAGTCTTTCTTTGAAATCAACACCATCCAAAACATCACTTTCTACAAACATAAGCATGAAATCTGTAAGGTGTTTTTGATTTAATTGAAATCGTAGATTTTTTTGTTCTATTCATTTTAGTAAAAAAAGGTTGTTATAAGCAAAATAAAAATTCTGAAAAATATGTATAGAAACACTTAAATATGCACTAAAAATAATAAAAAATCAATATACAAAAAATACAGGGCCGTAAAATTGGGGCCCAGGGATCGTGACATACGGGCCCTCCTTTTCGTCCAATATTTTACATACATGTTCGATATTCCTAATTAAAAATTAAAACATCATATTCACGAGTCACGACAAAATAATTCTTCGAAATATTTTTAACTGTTTATGAATTATTTATGAATTATTTTACGTGCTACGTAAACTGTCGCACATGTTATAAATATAGCATAAAGATATCTACTTTACATTATTATTTATTTGAAACAACCAGCGTACTATATGCGTGGTGTAAGATAACAGGTCGCGGGCTTTTTTTTGTTATAAAATCCAAATAATACAACTATTCTGCACTAGGGTTTTACGGGATGCTCGTGGGATTTTTAAAAATTTCGTAAAAACTTAAACTTATTTTTCCGGTTCACATACCGGGCCCCCGTGAAAATTCTGGGCCCGTGTGATTCACATCCGATCTCCCGTTCTTGTCGGGCCTGTAAAATAATAATAATAATGATAGGTACCGGAATATCTAGAAGCTATACAAATAAAATACTAATGTACATGATACAATTATGAGGGTTTCCTTATTGATATGATTACCTAGTGGCGTAACCAGGATTTATTTTCGGAGGGGGTTTTATAAATTTGAAAAAAAATCAATTTTAGATGGTGATTGGTGAGGGAGGGGGTAAGGTTTAATTAGGTTTATGAGCAAAATCATTAAATTGTTTAACTGTCATTTATAGACAACGCATATTGGAAAAACAATTTAGACTTATATTAGTTATGTAATTAAGTATACTTTAATCATAAGTAATGGTGGGTTATTGAAACCTTCGGGATATTTTTAGTCATAATTTAAAAAAAAAAAACACAAATTATTAATTTTGAATCATTTTTCGTTTGTTTTAGATATGGAAATTCGTTCTAATTACTTTTTAAAAATAATATTGCGTAAATGATCGTCTTCAGAGCCTATAGCGTAAGGTGCTTGTTTTTCGGCATAAACTTTCGTATACACCTAGCTTCATGATTTCTTGAAATAAATTTAT